TGTCTTGGTAGGAGACGGCGATGCTGGTGAGTCCAAAGGGTAGGGCCGTTAAGGCGCCATCTCTTTGGCTATGCTGATCGGGCCCAGGCAGATTGGATCTGCGAGGTAGTTGACGCAGAGCGGCTGGTCGGCGATGGATCGTGCGCGCTTCCTACGTCACGGTGATGACGAGGGGCTCCTTAGACCGCCTACGACGGCGGGAGTGTATGGAGTGGTCGGAGCCTGTCATTCGACGATGTGGACGTGGCGAAAACTCCTCGTCGTCTATAGGTCGGACAAGGACCGATTCGGCAATGGACAAGCAGTTGGAAAGCTTATGGTTTACCTGATCGATAGATGCGGCCAAGTCGTCGTTGTCAATTTGCTTCCTCGGGTAGCGAGGGAGTGATCGACGAGTTGCTGATGAAGATGACCTCGGAGGTGGTTCCAAGATCGGATCTGCTGGCGCAGGCGTAATCGACGCAGTAGAGTTCTGCACCGACTCGACGATCTCCCCATCACCGTTGTCGTTGATGAGCCAGGAGATTGACCCAACCGTGAAGGTTTGGCCGGGCTTCAGGGAGAACGGAGAGCTCGGAAATCGTACCATCTTGTTTGCCATGAAATAGCACGCACACCCCTACCTGGCGCGCCAACTGTCGATAAAATATCACCGGCAATCCTCCGAGGGCTATCCCACGAAGGTAGATTGATCGGCAGAGATGCGTGTAATCGAGAACAAGAAGACAACAGAGACACAAGAGTTAGTCAGGTTCGGACCGTCTGCACGACATAATACCATACTCCTGTGGTCTGTTGATTTGTATTGGCTATCGTATGATATTGCGCGTGATCAAATGTCTTAGGCTAAGCCTAGAATTCGTATAGGGATGTCCACTAGAGGCCCCTACCTCTCCTTATATTCTCTAGATGGGTAGGGTTACAAAAAAAGTATACTATTTGGTATTATACAATATCTAATAAATCACATCTTCTTGTACACTTGCGGTGCACGTCAATCAATACCGTGCGCCGCATGCCTTGTGGGCTGGGCCACCTTTGATGGTGCGGCTCATGTCTTATTTTATGGATATCGGGGGTCATGTCCCCCGCAGTATATGTATTCCTGTGTGCAAGCAACTTAGCACATATCCAACTAGCTTACGTAAAGAATAATTAGTGCATCGGAAGCATGAGGCCCAGGTGATAATATTAGATACTTAAAGCGCTTTATACTTGCCTCCTCCTTTTGAAGGGAAGGCAGCTGGCTTCTTATATAACCCTGCACCACTTCCTCCAGCCAACTGGTAGTGTCCTTTGGAGCTGGGCTAGAGCACAACTGTGAGAAACCTTGTGTTGGCGATTTGACGTCCTCCGTTCTCCTTAGTTGAAAGGACTTCAACCAGGTATTAAGTTTCCTACTAAGTTTGTTCGTTGGTTTTGCTTGTTCATCAGTGTGTGTTGATCTTTAGTAAGGAGCAAGTAAACTCTGTTCTGTGGCTTCTCTTCATGTCGATAAGAGGTGATGAACTGATGATAACTGGTGTTTTGTTAGAAATTGTTTTTTTTTCGAAGCAACAAGGAAGGCATCACACTAGAGCTTGCCAAATATTGCTTGTTTATCTCTTGGTTCCTGCAATCCTGCTAGGTTGAAACTTGAAAGCAATAAGGCATGGTTTCCTGGGTCTAACACATGTTAGCTTCTCAGTTGCTGTGTTCTTCTAAATATGATTCATGACTGTTTGAACTTTAGTTAATCATGCTCAATTTGTTGTTGCCTTCTTACTCTGGATGACTGCAAATTACTGCAAGTATACAAAACGAATAGCCAATCATATTGGCTTCTCCAGTAAGTCTGGAATAGCACTTCTGAACCCATGTTTACGAGAATCTTTATATTGTCACCCGAATAAAGCAATCACCAATCAAAGTAAGTGATCAAACATTTGTATTTTTAAATGATCGTATCTTAAGAGTATTTTTCTAAGACCATATCTTCTTCCATGTTCATTCAACACTAGACAACCTAAGAGTAGATGATGCTGAACCTTCAAGTTGCACGAATCATTCAGCTATTATTCTTGTTTTGGTAAATGAACTACTACTTTCTGTTTGACAGACATGCGGTGAGGTGATCAGTAATAAGTATTGATTTAAGGGAGATCATTTTGAGCATGTTATGATGGAGCTCTACTCTGGATATCTTGAAGATCATTTCAACCTCCACAAGCTAAGGTGAGCATTTCCTCTGATCAGATCCCCCTGTTTCATCTGAATGATTTTTTGTTTTTGTTTTTTTTGTCCATCTGATGCATAGAAAAAACGCCAATGTTCTGATGGCTGTCCAATCAGTCAACTGAAGTAGAATGAGACGTGAAGCAAAAGAGGGAGAGCTAATAGCTTTGGTGCCACTAGCGTTAGGCCTCGTTTAATTTCCATTTTTTTTTTTGCCTCCTACGTTAAAAAAGCATGTTTGACATATGCATAGAGTACTAAATGTAGACGAAAAAAAACTAATTACACAGTTCTCGGCAAAATCGCGAGACGAATCTTTTAAGCCTAATTAGTCCATGAAACGCCTTAATTACTACAGTACCCACATATGCTAATGACCGATTAATTAGTATCATTAGATTCGTCTCGCAGTTTCCTGATGGGTTCTGTAATTTATTTTTTTATTAGTATCCAAAATCCTCTTCCGGCATCCTTCCGACATATCCGATGTGACATCCAAAAATTTTCAACTCCCCAACTAAACACACCCTTAATAGACTACTAGTAGTGCGATTTGCATTAGATTTCCTTACCTGTGGGTGGCACATCATGATGTAAACTGAATAAGTCAGGAACAAAATGCGTTCTACATCAAGGGATACTTTTTGCTAATTAAGTCTCCCCAAAAGCAGGATGTGAAGGGAGACCCCTCGCTTTGTTCTCTGCCTAGCCTAGACACTAGACAGCCATGAAGCGCTCACGTTTTCCCAACTTTTCTTGCTCTAGCGGTTTAGCCCACAGGTGACACTGATTTTTTTACGAGACAGCCTGTTTGCTTCTCTTATAATTTATACTTTTTAGTTTTTTTTTCAGCCGAAATAGTATTTTTCTCTCACAACAAATTAGCCGAAACAATATTTTTACTTGTTTTTTCAGCGAAACGAATAGAGCCTGACGTTTCTGAATAGCACACGTCAGCCGTCAGTACAGTCTCTTTTAGCAGCCCACGACAGTGAGCTTTGCATCAGCCATCAAGTCTCCCTTGGCCTTTAGCTGAGGTCCTCTGATAGTTGACCTCCTAACGGAAAAGAGCCGAGAGCCGTATTTGGCAAATAGTGCACGGGCAGCAGTGAGGCACTAGAATAGACTCTAGTGAAGGAAAGCTGTTTTCTTTTGCAGCAGCATCTCCAACCCAGCGTGCGGCAGGCAGAGGCAGGGGAAGGGCTGCCGGCCCCCTGCCTGCTGTGCCTGGTGCTGATCTGAACGAAGAAAGTGGTGAGTGGTGCTGTGCATCACCAGCGTTCACCACTGGCTTGGCTAGCCAACCAGACATTCCCTTTTGTTCTGTCATCACATTTCCTTGTCATCAGCATCACTACGCACACATACTACAACTTGCAGTGTTTGGTCTTTTTATGTATAATTTTCACTGTGCATGCAGGCAAGAGCATGACATACTAGTATTTTCTTCTCTCGTGCTTTTCTCCTTTGCAATATGCAAAATCTGCTCGATATGGTTATGCAGCATTAGAATCGCATCCCTTTTTTTATTACTTATAATATATATAGCCTGGCACTGTTGGCAAAAATCACACGCACACGTGTGGCGCAAACCACTGCACTGCACATATCCCTGCTGCAGCCTGCACTCGTGTTCCAGATAAGTTGGATGGTGGGGTTCAGATGATGAAGGCCGGCGACCACTGCTTTATTTGCAGCAGGGAGGGGTTCCTGTGTGCTGGTTGGAGGCAGCATGGGACCAACCTAACCTGCTGCTTTTGCCGTAAAAAGCCAAGTGGCCTCCCCAATAATTGAGGGCCCCCTATGTGCGATGGCTGATGAAGCTTCTGCCTGCTCCCTGTCCAGCGGGAGTACAGGACGCAAGCATCTGCATTGCACACAATAATTGACGCCCATGAGTGAGTGATTGAACAGTCCAGTAATCCATGCTAGAAACACAAACACTGTCTGTTTTGTTCTAGGACTAGGATCTGAGATTGCGAGCTGTTTACCAACACGCAAAAGCTTAGCATGTGGACTATTAAGAAAACAAGAGGATCAGAAGCATAGCATGCAGCCGTTCATGGGCTTAATCTTGTGGTTTACGAGCTAAAGCCCCGGCTAGAATCTGTGGCGTTCTCTTCAGGAGCCTTCTCTACCGCGCACTCTTGTTCATGCGGTGTGACGTCACGGCTGATGAGCCGATCGCCGTCACTGTCGCCACACTCTTTTAGTCTTACCTATTTATTAATCCTTAACAGCTGCCTGTTAAACCTCTACTACTAAGTAATGGCTGGAATTGCAAGCACTGGCCGGTGTGGTGGCTGTCCTTGTCATCCTGCCAATTTAAGCTAAGGGCAGAGATGTACTTGGTCGGATAGCGTCACCGCAGGTCGGCCGGTGGTGCGCACCTGGCCGAGAGGCCAGTCCTGGTGCGGCTAGCTATCGCCGCCGAGTAGATCGGCACACGAGCTTACCCTGTGTACGTGTTGCTGGTAAACCTGCCCCGCACCAAGACGACGTCGTCGTCGTCGTAGCTCGTCCTCGTGGTCGTGTCTCGAGTCTCGTGTCGCGCTGCCACTGGGTGCCGCGCACGTCTCTGCGCCGTCGGTCATCACGGCAGGGCTGGGCAGAAGAGCGGAACGAAAGTTAGCTGGAGGCGAGCGGCAACTCTTTTGTTTCGTCACGTTTGCGTGGTCTGTCGCGCGCGGAGTCGTCCCGGCCAGCGCGCCGGGCGCCAATTCCTTCCTTCCCGGCACGGTATGCAGATGTAGGCACCAGCCAGTCATGGCTGCTCCCCAGTCCCCATGCCGCTGCGCTGCCTTTCCGAAAAGGCGAAAACCACCGGCTGGCTCCGCGCTGCAGTCGCTGGCCGGATTCCGGATTCCAGGCACCAGGCTCCACTCGAGGTCGAGGCGACGGCGGTTGGCGGACGAGACGACGGCATCCAGCCACTGGGCAAGGCAGCTGCCATGCCACTGATTCTATTCTCTCGTATCACGAGCCCGATGCGTGCGGCAGAAGCACCCCGCACCCCCTTGGCGGCTAGGCAGCACAGCACAGGTTCTCGCATCCTGGTAGGCGACCTCAAAGTCGTAACCGCAGCTCGCCACCGATCGGTTTCCTCCCTTTTTTGGCCACCGGCCATGGCCACCCATCTTTAATTTCCTCCCTAGCCCCTAGCGATGATGAACGGAAAGAAGCCGTTGCCGTCCGCATCGGCGCGCGCGGCCGTGGACCGTGGACGTACGTGGACGACAGGATTTTTCTGGCAAGGTGAGCGCGCGCCACCCATCATCATGCCATCATTTGTTGCGTACGTTGTCAGCCTCCGCGGGGCTCCGCTCCGCTTTGCCCAAAGTGCTCGCCGGGGCCGCACTAGCTTGGAGAGAGCGTAGGCATATTTTTGCCTTTGCTTGCGCTGGCTGCGCCCATTCCATTCGGAGTTAGAAAGAAAGCTTTAGCCTGCTGCCTTTTCTCCTTTATTTTTTCGTCTTCTTTCTTTTAACACTGTTGTATAACCTCTAACCTGGTCGCCACCTGCAACGGTGCTCTGTCGATCCGTCTGTCGTTACTCACGGCGCCCTCTTGTTTCTGTTTGGCTTGGCCAGCATCGGCAGCGCCGCCTCGCCGCCGGAGTACATGACGTCGGCGTCGCCGGCGCAGTTCGCGGCGGTGCCCCTCAGAATGGGGTACGCGCGGCCGGTGCCGTCGCCTGCGCCGCCGGCGCCCGTAATGGGCATGTGGAGCAGCGAGCCGTTCAAGGTCGACAGCGGCGGCCACGCCACCAGCGCGTCCACCGTCATGGAGGCCGACACCAAGTTCGAGACGAGGGTGAGTTCTCGTGATCGGTTCTTGCATGTCTTCTGCTGTGATTTGCCTAACAAAAGGGAAGGTCGCTCATGATGTATTGATGTCATGTTGGTGAGCTTTGTGCAGCTAGAAGACGTTCCACAGGTAGCACTTGAGCCAGGAAGAAGTACAGACCAGGAAACAAGCAAGCCGCCAGAGAGGGTACATAATTTTAAGCATCTTTCACTTGTTTTTCTTTTGTCCTTTTGACTGTCATAGCATGTTCAGTCTTCCTTAAATACAGTATATGATACAACAGAGAATAATCTCTTCAAGTCTGAACTGTCCATTCTTGCAAAAGAGAAATAAAATGCTCGGAATGTATAAACCTGAAATGATTTGTCCCAGGTCCTGAGAAGGCTCGCGCAGAACAGAGAGGCTGCTCGGAAGAGTCGACTGCGGAAAAAGGTGACCACAAGAACTTCACCGATCTTTTGGTGTTATAACCATAATCAGTACCTTATGTGTCTAACAGCTGTTGGGGCCAATTTGTTGTTGTTCAATAGGCCTACGTCCAGCAGCTCGAGACAAGCCGGATGAAGCTGGCCCAGTTAGAGCTGGAGCTTCAACGGGCTCGGCAGCAGGTACGTGAAAGAATCTGTTGGCTAATGCCATTTCAACAGTCAGTGTTGCATTCACTGATGACTGATCAAGTGCATGGGACAATCTGCAGGGTGCATATGCAAATGGGAACATGGGAGACTCAGCTCTCGGTTATACAGGGTCGATAGATCCAGGTCAGGCTCTGCACCGATCGTTCTGAAGAACGAAACACTAGTCGTTTGTCCAATGGCATTCCGCGCAATGTTCAGTCAGTCCTTGTGCATCTTCTAACTGCTGGTTTGTGTGCGTGGTTCAGGTGTCACCGCGTTCGAGATCGAGTACAGCCACTGGGTGGACGAGCAGAAGAGGCACACGGCGGAGCTGATGTCGGCGCTCCAGGGGCAGCAGACGTCGGAGCTGGAGCTAAGCATGCTGGTGGAGACGGGGCTCAACAACTACGAGCACCTTTTCAGGATCAAGGCGATGGCCGCCAACGTGGACGTGTTCCACGTCATGTCGGGCATGTGGAAGACGCCAGCCGAGAGGTTCTTCCTCTGGATCGGCGGGTTCCGGCCGTCGGAAGTCCTCAAGGTGTGTCCGCAGAACCCACACGAGTGATGATTCGTCTTTGCATGGTGATTGGTGATGATGGATGGATCTCTCTCGTTGTTGCTGGTGGCATGCAGATCCTGAGCCCGCAGCTGGAGCCGCTGACGGAGCCGCAGCGCAAGCTGGTGGGCGGCCTCCAGCACACGTCGACGCAGGCGGAGGACGCCCTTTCGCAGGGCATGGAGAAGCTGCAGCAGAACCTCGCGGAGACCCTGACGGCCGAGGCTGACCCGTTCGGCCCCCCCGACGCCTACATGCTGCAGATGGCCACCGCGGTGGACAGGCTGAAAGGGCTCGTCGGCTTCGTCACCCAGGTAATAAAACCGACCGACCGACCCAACCGGTCGCCGAGAACCATCCATCTTATCCATGGGTGCAAGGCCTGGAACGCACGCACGGCACCGTGCGCCCGCGCGGCCGCGCCGTGTCCCTGTTGCTGACCCGCGTGGCGGCCTCTGCTCGGCTGGTTGTGCTGTGCAGGCGGACCATCTCCGGCTGACGACGCTGCAGCAGATGCAGAAGATCCTGACGACGCGGCAGGCGGCCAGGGGCCTCCTGGCGCTGGGCGACTACTTCCAGCGCCTCCGCACGCTGAGCTCGCTGTGGGCGGCGCGCCCGCGGGAGGCGGCGATTAGCTAGATGCCTGCGGTGGCCGCCAGCCAAAAGCTCACTGGTGAGGTGACCGCAACAAAGAACACGACGACGCCGACGACGACGAAGAGTAGTAGCAGTTCGCTGTATACTTTCCCAAGTGGAGGACGAAGAAATCGACCTCGCTGGGTTTGGATGAAGAATGCAAGGCTTCTCAATCAGCGGCGGTGCCCGCGTTCCTCAGCAACAGCAAAGTGGTGTTTGTCAGGCGATTAGAGAAGAGAATAAACGGAAATCGATTGAGGCCTTTTTATTTGACGGGCGGAAAACGTGTACATATCTTGTTTTGGTACCCGGCCGGGGCCTCCTAGAGGCGTAATATTATGATTGATGATGATGCAGGCCTTTTATAACTAGTGTTGAGGGTATATATATACTTATCATATATGTAGTTACCTGTAACTAGTGTTGGTCAAATTCTCATGAGTACGGAGCATGCAGGGTATTGTACGTATGGTATACAGTGGCGGATCTAGGATTTTGATCATGGGGGTACAAACCAAAGCGCTGTAGTTCATCGACAATAAGATGGTATAATTCAATCACTAAATGATAATAAAATAGTTGTAATAATGATATATAAATAGAACAAGCTATATATTCTCATTATTACAAGTTTGCAACTAAATCTTATAAACTATTATCATAGAAACTAAAACTTCACAAGACATTCTGTGATTCTTGGAAGCGTTTAATGATATCTTCATCGCTTACACAAAGGAAAAAGCCACTGCTGAATAAATATGACCGAACAATCGTTCAAGTATCGATCACCCATCTTGTTTCGAAGGCTGGTTTACATATGGTTCACTGTTGAAAATACTCTCTCAACACTTGTTGTTGCTATAGGAAGGATTAAAAGTAATTTCAGCAACAAATAAACAAGTTTAAAGCGATTGTGTTTGTTTGTCTCAACAAGTTTGAGAGAGAGATCTCTAAGATTCTTTGCTTTTCGAAACCTTGTGTCATTACACACATCAACAATAAATATATTAAGTTGCAAAAAAAGTTGGACCAAATTTGTGCTCGTAAAATCTTGAGGATAAAACTTTGCCAGTTTAATAAGTCTTTCCTTGTCATAGAAAGCAAAGGAATCACTAGATTCAAAAGCAACCATGCAAACTAAGTAGCTCTTTATGGGACTTTCTTTTCCCCGGTAGAATGAACTAGCTAGCACTTGGGCTTGCTACTTAACAATATATTATACATATATAATGGAAAGGGTATATGTACTTAGTATTTTTGTAGAAATTTTGGGGGTACAGCTGTACCCCCATGCACCTACTGTGCATCCACCCCTGCGTATGGAACAATTTAGTTCACTGAACCAGAGAGATATCTAGAAGTTCACATTTGTCAGTTGTCAGTCATAGTTTCCTACAACCCTACTACATTTCATCACCATTTGGAGTTTCAGACGAGCTTGCTTGCCTCAACTGCAGAGATCCATCGGCTTGGTGTGAGTTTGATGTCATTGGCTAAAACTATTATACATGCCACTTAAAAATCATATCCTAGCAATATCATTATCCATAAGTTTTCATATCTTTCACTCCATTTCTGACTATATTTCGATAGTTTTGGCTCATGCCAAATAACAAGTTTGTCCTTTCTCTCAGCCGGACACAATTTTTTTGAAAGGTCATCCGGGGATGAACTATCCCCACCTAAATTTCATTACCACAGATGCCGGCATAAGCCGGTGATGGTAGATACAAGCTTAGGTCATAACCCCAGAGTTACAAAGCAAGAAAGTTTATAAAAGAACACAACCACCGACACCGCATACAGAGAGGAACAACCAACACCGTCAGCCAAAGGGAGAAGCAACAACTCCCACGACGGGTGCTTGTCAATGGACACCAAACATTGCACCACCAAGAGGCTGAGCTTTGAGTTACTCCATTCCATAGGCGATTGTAGGGCACCGAGTCCTAAAAGACAACGGCGGTCGCGATGTACATCTTCTATGGAGTACATCAGGGATCCAATTGCCTTCCACCTATGCCCCTAGAGGGGAGGAAGCCTCAAGGGTTGGAGCCTTGGAGGACCGACTACTAGAGAACATGGAGATCAAGAGAGGGGATGATGGTCTCGTTAACCCAACATACGGTGAGAAGATGCAAGTGCAACCAAGGATCATGGAGGACACCAAGGCAAAGACAGATGGCAGTAGGCACCATCTAGCGACCAAGATGTGCACCCAAGGAGGTTGAGGCAAGTCTAAGGTGTCCCTCTACAGCGATGCCAATAAGTAGGACGCGGCGTCGCCGCCGCCGTCCCGGTAGTACCGGGAAAGGTTTTCACCTGGAGACATGTAGCAGTTATGTGGTGGAGGGAGCTAGAACACGACGCCTCCAAGGAGGTCTGCAGCACCCGAGGGCGTCATCATCGATAGCACCGATGAATTGGGCACGTCTTTCGCCTAAGGCTTCTCCAGATCCTTGAACTGAGGCACCGCCATTTTAGACCAGACGACAACCCTTGGCTCGACAGCGTGTTGAGCAGCGAGCATGGCGAGTTACCACGCACCCCCACTGCTAGAACTGGACAGAATTTTAACTCACAAATAGAGTAGAGAACCTATATTCCAACTCTACAAATGTTAGATGCCACGTGCAGATAAATGAGAGAAGCATAAGGTATTTGAGGGGATCCCTCCACAGTCACCGTCACATTTGCAGCCAAGACTGCACGAGCGCAGCCATCCTGCTCATCGGGTAGCAATATCCAACAGCCGCATAGTCCATCTCACGCGTCGAGTTATTATTAGAAACTACAGATTGCGTCGACTCCTCGTACAGAAGCCCTATCCACGTCGCTCCAAATTCCCCTGGTCGTCTGATCTCGCGTTCGACGGCCCAGATCGCTCGAAGAGGATTCTCGCCGGCACCCGCTTCTCTTGCTTCTGGTTAGCTTCTCTCGCTTCTCCTCTGCTTCTCCCGCTTCTCGTCAGAATCCAAAGAATCAAATATATACACCAACTTCCGCTTCACCTTCTCACCCCCTCCTCTCTCTCTCTCTCTCTTCGGTCTCTCTCCCTCGCTCTCCCGACGCTACGGGTGACGGCGCCGGGGGCGAGCAGGGTGGCGGCGGCTGCCGCCTTCCTCCTCCTCCTCTTCGGCCCTCCCTCCCCTTCCTCTCCCTCGCTCCCCTTCCCACCCGAGGCGGCGGCGGGCGCGACGAGGTGACGGCACCCCTTGCGGGCGGCGCGCGCTACGCACCTGCGCGGGTGGGGCCCGACGGCCCCCTCCCTCTCCCCATCCTCCACGTGGGCTCCTTGATGCCTCCTCCACCAGGGAGCATGCGCTCCTCTGGTCAGTGAAACCCTAGGTACTATGCCGGACAGGCCCAGTGCCGGCCCTAAGGGGGGGGGCAGGAGGTGCGATGGCCGAGGGCCCAGGCGGGATGGGGGCCCAAGCCCAAGTATATAAGACCCCATACCCTTTAGCTATAGTCCATTAGAATTTAGGATTAATGAGAAGGTGCAGCAGCCAGCAGGCCAGCAGCCCATCAGCGTCGGCCTCTTTCTTTTCAGGAGGAGAGGAGCCGAGCCGCCAACGCTGCAGCCCCGCACAGCGATTGCGACCAGACTTCCGCAAACGGCGAGACGCAGCGCCGATCGGACTATCACCACGCGACAAGGCAGCCGAGGCAGGGCTCGACGAGGACGATGAGTCGACGACATCTGAATATCTGATCTTGGTTATTGCCTTCTGCCCTTTTTGTGATTTGTGAATCTTGGTTCTGAATTAGTTCATGTTCAAATTGTCTAGGCCCTAGGTTTTTTTCCTTGTTCAATTTTTGTCTAGTACTTTGTACTTATATAGTTATATTTTTTTGTAATTTAGGTCAGGTGTAAGAATTTTAGAATGTTACCTAAGAAACATTTGTCAGGGGCTGCGAAAAGAAAACGGAAAAGACAAGAAGAATTTTAGACAAGAAGAACTCGCTGGGAAAGCCAAATAAAAAGTGTTCAAGCTATCAGATTCCAAACTCCTCAAATAAGATCAGCTTTAATAGCGCTAGAGAAAGCTTCAACTGATGACCCAATGGCAGTTAGTGAATATCAATCTTTGGTGAGTGCACTTGAGAATTTTGAATTTGTAGTTGGTTTGGTTATTTGGCACGACATTTTATTCTCTATAAATAAGGTTAGCAAGAAGTTGCAATCTAAAATTGTGAGTATATATTCTACTCTAAAACACATTGAAGGTGTCCTATCATATTTTAAGAAATATAAAGATGAAGGTTTCACTTCTGGTATGGATACAACAAAAAACATTGCATCTAAATTGGATATAGAGCCAATATTTCCTACGAAACGTCAACGAAAGAGGAAGAAACATTTTGATGAACAAGATGACCAAGACGAGGAAATACAACAGTCTGTTGTAGACTCCTTTAGAAGAGAGTACTTCCTAGTTATGATTGATTCTGCAATTGCTTCATTGACTAGTAGATTTAAGCAGATAACAGTATTTGATAATGTTTTTGGGTTCTTGTTCAACTCAGAAATTTTGAAATCCTTGGATGAAGCTGATCTTTGGTTGCGCTGCAAGATTTTTATGGAAATTTTTCTCATGATAACTCATCCGATGTTGAGATCAATGATTTTTTCTAGAATTAAAGGTGTTGCAAGTGACTTTGCTAGATTCTTTGATGTCGGCGCCAGAGATTCTGAAGTTTGTTATGGATGCAGATTGCTATCCAAATGTTTCAATTGCCTATCGAATTCTCTTAACTGTACTTGTGACTGTAGCTTCGGCCGAAAGAAGTTTCTCAAAATTGAAGTTGTTGAAGAACTATTTGAGATCAACTATGTCACAAGAAATGTTAAATGGCTTGGCTATGTGCACCATCGAGAATAATATCTTAGACACTATTGATCTCAATACCGTCCTTGATGATTTTGCATCAAGAAATACCCGAAGAAGTATCTTTTTATAAGAAGCAGTGAATATGATGGAGTTCTATTTTTCTTTAAG